GTAGTCATACAATTGACTTATTTAATGCACTTTCTGGGATCGATCTATATGGCTTTTATTGATATTTACAGAAATTTTACTAGTTTCTAATGTTATAGTACTAATTAACCCAATCTCAAATTGACAAAATTTATACTGAAGTGTTACAGTCTTTTCAGTCAGATTTGTTATTATCTATGCTAATTTACATTGCTGCTGATTTGACTGGAAAGCTCTACATTTTCATGTAACACAATTATATAAATACTGTTTCTCCCCTGTTCTTCACAACTACTGAATTAGCAGTAGTCCACTCAGATGATGGCCATCCAGCTCATTGCATGTCAAAATGCTCTTAAAATATACCAGACTTCAATCCTTATTTGGTTCAGAAAAAAAAAAAATCATTTCATCAAATAGTCAAGACAGAATTTACACAGAAAAATTTTACAAGAAAAATTCAATGCCTTGCTGTAGTCTTGGTAGTCTTCAGCAGATGATCATCATTTGCAAGCCTCAGAGTTAAAATAGCTTGCAGTATTTTCAGAGGAGGTCCTCAGGAGTATATTAAAAGTAGAACAAACTTCCTTTTGAAGTCATGTGTCAAAACAGCATTTTGATACTTCATCTTGCCCTGTCCTACCATTCACTGAGCACCTCACAGCCATCAGGTTCCATTTTCTGGCCAAAAACAGAGGGATAAAGTATTTTTACTTACTCAAACTTGTCAGCTAATGTCTTTTACAACAACATGCATTTCCTTTTATCTATAAATACTGCCTTCATTCATTCATCTTAAGTTTGAAGGTAACTTTCACAAACCATGGTTCAGAATTAAATTCCTGAAATATAGAGGGACTATTTGGGCACAAAAAATGCTAAAAGGCATTATGTAATGAACTAAAGCTGCATCCTAATGGACATTAATATGGCCAGTTGGGATTAGTTTTTAGTGCCTTTCTCTTCAAAAAGATACTGTCCAAGTATTTGCTGTTATCAGCCACTAGAGGGAGATATGATTACACAAGTACAAAGCTTATCCCTGAAATTTGAGCTGGGTCATTACGCGTGGTCTTTTGGGTTCATCAACATACACTTCCAATTTAAATGTTTTCCCATTTAGAGTTTCACTTCATGATCTTAGTTGTTCATAACTACAATTCATTTAGTTATTGATCAAATTAACTGTTATTTGGGAACTTTGTTCAGCAAACTCAGTCTCCCAAATTCACCCAAGCACCAAAACTTCATTCAATCAAAAATACCCTATGCACAGTTACGACTACAGCTTCTCCATGTGTCAGCTGTTTCCATGTCTTTGGTATTCAGGTACAAGACAATTCCTCTGCTTTGCATAATGAGAGGGTGCTTTGTCTGAGGACTGTTTTTATAGGCAGCAGACTTTATTCTCCCAGACCTTCTCTTCAAGCCCTTTCCCACTCTGAGGTTTTGCACCTCTTCTCTGGGAGAAGCTATTTAAGCAAATGTGTGGTATCGCGCCTGTTTACTAAGGTGACAGCTGAAGGGTTTTCTTTGCCCTTTTGATATCTATGAGATCTTTAGCATTCCCTCATCACATGCAAAGTAAACAGAGTTTCCTTTTAGAGCTATTAAAACTGACAATGTGTTTTTTAATTATTCTTTTTAAAAGAAACATTGAGCAGCTGTTAACGTTTGTGACTGCTACACCAGTGAAGATTACAGGCTTCCTTCACAGAGTAGATAAATTATCTTTTTATTAATGGCTTTGATTGCAATTATTTATTGACTTTTTTCATAATACAGTCCATAATGTTGTGTCACTTTTTAGAAAGAATAACCATTTTAAGTTCTCAGGAGTTGAACAGGTCGAAAGGAAAAAAAGAGCTTATGTGCAAACAGAGGATGATCTGAGCACAAAAGCTGGAGGAGTTTGAGCTTCTAATTTTATTTTGTACATGCTTTGATTATATCAAGCAATTTATGTTCCTGCAGCATAACTGTACCACATCAAAACAGGCTTCTTTATTTAGTAGTCAAACAGCACAGTTACAGAATAAACAAAGTTCTCTAACAAATTCAGAAACCCATGAAATAATGCAGGAATAAGATTTGGATTATGAGGTCAATATTATTATTTTAAATACAACTCTACTGAGTATACTTAATTTGAACAGACAGTACTGAATTTAAGAACTTGCATTACACTGGAGATAAAAGCAATCACTTTGTGAAGCCCTGTGGCAAGGTGAGTACCTCCCGTGACTGACATTCAATGCAAGACCAATAGAAATCATACAAAATGTAAGTTGCTTGTTTTCTATAGTAGTTACTGTAATTAAAAAAAAATGCCCTTCATTCATGTTAACAGAACTACAGAAAAATATTCATAATTAATTTTAGTTCACTAAGACTGGGAGATCAAAACAAGATGTAAAAAAATACCGTATATATATATTTAAATAAGTTCAATACTAGATGCAGTCATTCCTGCCTGTACTTTGAAGTCAAGGATAAGATTTTAAGTGCTTCGGGGAGTGGGGCTGTGTGGGGGGGAAGTAGGCAAAAAATCAAAATCCTGATTCAGGATTGCTATTGCTGTAGGAATTGCAGGGACTGCTGCAGGTTGCTGTAGGCAAAATTCTGTGTAATGAAAATTCCTTCCTCTAATGGAAAAGTAAATAAAAAAAAAAGTGACAGGGATTTTCCTACACAATTACTATTCAATGTATCACCAGCAGTCACTCTATCCCGTGACTGAGGAAGTACAAACCAGTGCCTCAGTCCAGCAAAGCAAAATCCGTTATAATCTGCTCTATCGCTTACTGTTTTGAGCAACAAACACGACATTCATCCGCATGCGTTGAGGGAATTGTTTGAAACAGCCCAGTTGCACCTCTCCCTCCCAGCAAAAGACTGCTGGTTACGAGTGAACTTCTTCCAGGTGAACAGAGCCCTCAACTATACCAGGTCTCTATGACAGGTGTGAACAGCCCTCACACTTTGTACACGGACAAAGGGGGAGCTTTCAGACTAATGCCCTCTGCCAGCATAGTTTCAGATACTGCTTCTATTAGTATTGAAAATAAAATATATTAGAGCTTCACTACACAAACAGAATTACAACACAATTGAAGAAAAAAAAAAAACATACAGCTATACAACTCCTTCCTTACAGGCATTTGAAATGACACATTGCACTAGGCAGCTTCTAAAGAAGCAATATTGACTGCTGTTCCACTCATCCCGCTTCTTCCATATCCCCCTCACAGTTAACATCAGTAGTAACTTCAGATACAAAGTTACTAAAAAGCTGCTTTCAGGATAAATTTAGCAAGACTCCATGCTGCTGTTCTTCTCTATCACTTGATAAAAATGTATCTAATCAAGCTGCAAAGGCGCAAGATATTTGCTCGTATTTAGAAAGCAGGTTGACTTGAATGCTCAAGAGGTACTGTTCTTTGTGCTAAATTCCAACACTCTCTTGAATGGGGTGTATGTCCTCACCGGCCTTGCACTTTCAGGAGATCTTCTGTTCTCAGTACTTGCACTGTTAAGGAGACAAGAAAAAGCTTACAGAGTTAATGTCAGAGTATCAGACAGCTGGGCTGGAAATGCCACGGCAATGAACTTGTGCCTTGTTATTGATATTGACAGGCTAAAAATTAAACTATTCAGTGTATTTGATAACGTTCCATATTTCTTTTCTATAATGCCATAAAGAGTATTTGATAAAAACCGTGGCAGATACTGACAAGTTTACATGCAGGCATCTGCTGGAGCTCATATTGGAATGTCCAGCAATACAGCTACTAGGACTAAGGATCCTGCAACAATAAAGACAGCAGTGTTACATTTAAGAACGCAATTAATTGTGAAGAGTAATTCCATAAAATCTAAACTGCATAGAGGTAAATTTCTACGTAAAGATAAATCTCAAAAATAGGAAAAATATCAGATAAGTAGGGGCTGTGGTTACATACAGAGGGGCCCCAGAGAGGACAACAAAGATAGCTTTCTGTTGGCACCCTGAGTGAAGAACGCTGGTTTTGAGGTTTCAAAACTCGTGCCATTAAAATATGCTCTAGGCTAAACACTGAAATGAGTGTATTTTTAAATTGGGAAGGAAATTTTAGTTTGTATTGCAGCTTGCTGATTTCATATGCTAATTTACATTCCTCAAACTAAATGATTTAATTTGCAGGGCAGCTCAGATGAACAAGTTTACTTGTTGGTAGCAAAAGTAATATGCAATGGTCCTCCTTACCTTACTATTTTGGTTTCTGTTTTGCCCTTCCCTGTGGTGACTTGTTGGGGGGAAGATTCAAGTGCAAGTCCACAGCCTTGCTCCCAGGGCTCAGTGCAACCCTGTTGCAGTGTCCAGGGCAGAGAAAGGGGAGGAGGAGAAGAGGAGGCACAGTACCTGGACCTTTACAAAGCCAGGCTACAGAGCCACTGGCCACCACAGATCAGAGACAACCATTCCAGTGCAGAAGTGCTAATGTTACCGTGCTGTTTACTTGCCAATCTTCCATCTAGGGTTAGGATATCTCCAGAAATTGCTGCGGCCCTAAACTGTTACTGTTGGTGTTAACTGCCCTTTGAAATGGTCCTGGACGCATCTCCCAGAACACAAAGAATAAAGCACGCATGAAGCCAGCATTAACCAGCCTCAGGGTAGAGCTGTCCATTGTCTCCCGCTGTGCTGCCAGCAGACACATTTCATCAATATTTCCCATATTTCACAAAGTCAGATCTCTTGACTTGTAGCTTTACTCCCTGCTTAAATCACATTACTGTAAATAAGTACTCCCCAAGGGTTTGCAATATGTTTCCATCTTTGGGGAAAAAAAAAAAAATCCTACTCCATAAGGTCATTGAAGTACACTACACTTGGTAGATGTGCTCTTTTAAACTTAGGAACATTTTGCAAAACTCCACAATCCACTCTAACGGTTTATTAGCACAATGGTTTACTAGTACAGCACCAATAAGGGACATTATGATGAAGTTTCCTATGAACAAGCAGAAAAAGTAAATACCTGTATGGAAGATCACATCCGACACCAGTATCTCTGGTTTCTATATTAGTCTTTGGTTGGTTTTCCATTAAGTAGTCCAATTTATCTTGTAATTCTTTATTCTGGAAAACAGTAATTTTCATCACAAGTTTATTTTATTTAAATTATGTTAATTAACAAGGAAATAAAATTGCACATTGGCTTATCCCCACAAGAAATAATGTAGAAGTATTTATTAAGAAAAATAAAGGAATCCTTACTTCTGGGAAAAAAATATATAAATGAAACCAACAGTTTTATTCAGAAGCTTCTGTTTTAAGAAGCTTCTGTTTTTTTAATACTGTTATAAAATTGTACGTTAAGAAACTTAGCATGAATATTGAGACATTGTACTACATACATTCCTCATGTGACTTGTGTCGTAAGTTTTATTTCCATACTGAAGAACATCGAAAACATATAGTAAATATGCATCCAGAAAACAGATATCAGGTGACGTTGGTTCCAATTTTATTTGGTTTCATAAAATAATCACAATAGTATAAACTTAAAAGGCAATGCCTTACCTCACATTCTAAGAAAGAGATTTTTTCTAAAAGCTGTATTATAAATAATTCCTTTTCTTTTACTTTCTTCCTTAGCATTTCAATCTATGAAGAAAAATAAAACAAAAACATTTAGTCTAATGGGGATGGGAAGAGGAGGAAAAAGACCTAGATACCACAGGAAGAAAATATGTTTAATTTTATTGTTCAGCAACAATTGAATACCTTCACGTATTCACAAACTGCTTTAATCCATGGATTAGCTATCATCCCATAAAATTAGGATCATTTATATAAAGATGATACACACATACTAATGTGGCTTTTAAGAATTTGTATTTTTCTGGAAAGAGAACGGAAACTCAAACATTGTCATGTAACAAAGCAAACTAGGGAAAACTCCATCTTTGATTCAAAGGCCTTTGCTCTAGTCAATTTTAACTATACCCAAAAATATGTTGCACATTTGCTAGTTTCTTGAAGGTCTTTTTTTTGTTCAGTTATTTTTGTTCAGTTATTTCCTGGCATACCAGACTCCTTGAAAAAAGTGCATTTTCATTTTATACCTAGGGAATGGAAAGAAGTTATTTTAATTTTCACGAACATTTGTAAATAAAGTTAGCTGCACCAGAAGCATTGCATCTCAATACTGTTCTATAGGGAACAGAAGATAATCTTCCTCGTATTCTGGGATTTCTGCTGGTCATAGAGCCATACAACAACAACTTTTGCATTAAATCTTTCCCTGCTACCAGCACAAGCAGGTATGACCAGAGAAACTGGGTATGACCCAGATTTCATACCAGTCCCTTGCTGCTGGCCCAAAGCTGTTCTGATTGTGTTGAAAGCTGTTCTGATTGTGTCAAAATGGCTTTCTAAAGCTCCTAGCCCCACAGTTATCCTTTTCCGTTCTTCTGAACCCTTTGCTCAAAGCAAGATTTGCTGTGTGAGGTTCATACTGTTATCAGCAATAGTCTAAGAGACCTGTTGACTGGCACAGAGGTCAGTTCCTTTCAGTTGACTGCATTTAGGAGACAATAGCATCTTGTGCAAACAAAGTGAATTTTCTCCTCAGACCAAAGGAAAAGTCACTTGTTACTCTCTCTCAACCCCTGCTGACTACGCCTACTAAAATAGCGGCTAATAAAAAGAGCAAAATAAAACAACAGCTAAATAACAACTTCAATTGTTACTGCTTCCCCGGGAGGCAGTTCAGGTTATTACTCATAGACAGCTGTAGACACACACCACAAGCACAGAAGACAAGGTACTTCCTATATCTGTAGTTACAGTCTACTTCAGCTGCAGAAAGCAGTGTTAAAAACATTTCTAAGGAGAATCATCGGAAGTGCACTGAAAGATCAGTGTGAGGGAGAAAAGGGATTCTGCATCATGTTTGTGTGCAGGTAGGAACTGGGAGAAGACGGATTTCCCACTGTGTTCTGTGCTCATGCAAGTCTTATCCTACAGCAACAGCAATGAAAGCTGATAGCAGTGGATACTCTTATTGCTCTCAGTGTTAAATGGTGTCAGGTCAGTAATTTTTCCAATTAAATTTCAATCCACCTTTCTTGAACACGCCATTTTAGGTCAGATGACATGAAAGTCAAAAACGCTATTTTTGCCCTATTAAGTCCATGGGAATGCATCTCTCAACTGAGGTGCTGCAGCATCATTAGCTAAACCCCTGTCCCGGCTCCACGCCAGCTCTTTAACAAGGCAGAGCCCAGCCAACAACTTCTGCTTTACCAAACAGTGCATTATCTAAGGCAATTGTCTCCACAATTCATTAAAGTAAATTAAAGATATAAAAGGTTTCTGATCTCAAGCTTGAAAGCAGAATCAGAAGTAAACGGCTTGCTAGTAAATGGATGGTCCACATCACAAATGGAATGCCAGAATCCCATGCGCTGCTTTTAGTGAAGTGTCTATTATTGTATATGTAAAAAGAGCACCCCTTAAACCTGTGTTAGATGAGGAAAGATATTCAAACTGCCCTTACAGCACCATAAAAGTGTGTATCCTGCACATTCCTTCACATTTTTGGGTAATATGCCAACAGTGGGGAAAAAACCAGATCTATGCCTATAGCTTTTTATCACGAGAAAACTATAAAAATATCTATGCATAATAATAATAAAAAAAGGTATTTTCTATAAAACTTCCAATTAAGTGAGGTAGCTTTATTTTGTCAAGTTACTGATTGGCTGTGGGCTTCATTGATACAATTTTTAGGAAAAAAGTAAAAAGTATGTGTTAGTAAAAAATTTAGTGGACTTTTACTGAAATGAATCCATTCTGCAGAACAGCCAAACTGAAATCAAGGAAAGCTCAGAATACATTAATTTTTCCTGGCAGTCATTATGTTACATTGATATGCAAGGAAGACCATTTCTAAATACTTGGGTGAAGTTTTCCACGCACTCTCACCAGTCACTTTTTAACTCTATATCTGAAAATCAATTTTGTGAAAGACCATTAACAAACCTCTTCAGAACCACCAGTGTAAAACTTTTCAGCATGTCTGGAAACAATGATTAGTAGAAATATTCACATTCTGCTAAAAGAGAATGATAAAATACTCAAAGGTACAATAATCAAAACAACAGTAGTACTATCACCCTCCCAAAAATTTACTGCTAGGTATTATAAAACATTTCAACCAAAACATATAGAACTATGAAAAAAATTAAGCAAAACAAATGCATAAATTAAGCCAAAAAATGAAAATTTATAAAACCAACTCAACTTTAATTTAGTCTTCATGATCTTCAGTTATCGCATCTCATTGACACAATGATCAATTATTACTTGGAAAAGCTAAAATATAAACTCCATGCAGTAAGTGTTTTCAGCTCAACAGTTACAGAATATGTGAGTGCTATCATCATCTGTCTTTCTCAAAATCAGGTATTTCCTTTTTTTTTTTTTTTTTTACTTTTAATTTAAAGTGCATGTAAAAACTATCCATGTCATCTAAAGCTCTAATCATTTCAGTTTTCAAATCACAGAAACACAAAGCTTGTAGCATTTTCAGAAAAATCATAGAACATATTTTGATCTTCATATTTAATTACAAATTTGTTTAATAGTATGACTAAATTGTCAGCTATATCTTCACTAGTTCAATAGCTTCAGTCCTGCCAATAAATTCCACTTCAGAAAAGATAAACTGTTCTTTTAGGCCTTTCAAGTGGGTCTTCTCTATTAATATTCTGTTCTCCTACTATGCATACAAGGAAATAATTTTAACACCAGTAATCTGTATGACACAAAGACGACTGAAGCCAAGCACAGCTATGTGATGAGGGGAGGGGTTTGCCCTGACAGATATCCATTCTTGTTATTGAAGATAATATACCTCATCAGTAGCCCATTCTGGTTTTTACATCAAACACAAAATATTTCTCTTTCCTAATAAGTGATTGAATTATTATCTTGCTTATCCAAAAGCAAGACCAAACTCTTGTGTTTCGTAGCCATTTACCTTAAGTTATATTCACTCTATGATACGAAGGCTCTAAGATGTGAAATAAACTGTGATAGGAAGCATTATGTTTACCAGTATTACGTACAACTGTATTTAGTGTAAGTTAAAATTAAACTTGTATTTGTTTATTCTTCACATTGGCTACAGAGACACAAACTCCCTAAGGATGTTAAGTTATTTTAACTAGAGTAGTCTGAAGGCAAAAATGAGTATGGACATCTTAAAAATCTGAACAGAGAATACAAAGAGGAAGACCTTGACAAACAGCTTCCTCCCCTTCCCAAACACAAACCTGAACTCCAGAAAAGATATTTTGTAATTTGGCAGGAATGTTACTGCTTTTACTTTTTTGTGTGTGTGAGAATCCTCTAAGGACTGGCAGACTGAACCATACACAACAGCACTCCCTGACTCATTTTAGCATGTTTACATAGTACCAGTCAGGACGCATGAAATCAATTTACTTTGTCCGCTGAAGAGTTATGCCAGAATTTTAAAATACACCTTCTCTTCTACAGTATGGAGAAGAGACAATGTGGTACTATATCATCACACACACTAAGTCTTAGTATAGCAGTAGAACAGAATAGAATGATTAGACCATGCAGATTACAGATACGATAAGTTACCCAATTCACATTGGGTAACTTAGATAAAACCTCTTGGTGGATCTTTAGAACATTATGAACTCAAAGACACAGCCACACAGACCAAATACATTCCAGGAGAAATAAATTTCAGCACTGGCTAAAATGAGAGAGGCTGATCCAGTGCCAAGGAAAAAGTCCTGCAGTCCCTGCTCCCCAGATGCAGCAGAGCTACCCTTTGAGGCCGCTGCAGAAGGAAAGCAGGGCCAGAACGTAGCAAGGCACCTGCATTACTTCATACAGGCATGCTGCACCCCCCAGGCACATGGCCAACTAGTTGTCTCAGCAGCTACTGCAGTCCAAGGGCTGAAACAACTTCCAAAGTTAAGACACACCTTTAAACCTACCCACAGGCCTGACATAGATGACACATCCCACCAGAGTGGTTTACTACAAAAAAGTTTATTTACTGAATAAGGACTTGAGTACATATCATCTTATGCCATTAGCACGAGGAGTGAGCAAACCTGACTTGATTAACCCTTGAGGGGGTATGTTACATAGGAATAACTTTAGGGGATTATATTAATATATTACTATATTAAATAAAATGCAATCTTAATTCAATACATTTATATAAGTCACATTGCATAAAGTAAAAGCAATGGTTTCCTTTGAGAGAGGAATGTAACAAGAACAGTGGATCATAACGTTGATATTGGGTAAAAGCACTTCAAAAATAAAATTCATGCCTTGCTACCTAATGTCATTTTGATTTTTCCATAAAAATGTTAGTTATAGTAAACTAAAATAAGATGGTAACGCTTACAGCACCACAAACCTGTATTGCACAAACCCAAGTCTTGAGAGTGTCTTTGTTTCAAGGAGTTGCATAAAGCAAGAGAACAACTAGCAGGTGACAGAGCAATAGACTTTGACTTTTGGTTGAATATAAGGTAAGGAGAAGGAGAGGAGAAGCAAGATAGGTCAAATACAATACTGAACTGAGGGCCCAAGTGGTGGCCAGA